TCATGAACAGCTTCTCGAGGTCTGCATTTCTGAAGTAATGGCTGCTGCAGCTTGAGATGCTATTACAGCCCCTCCCCACCTCAAGGGTGAGGCTGTGTAGTTTCCCCAGACTCCACAAGGCCCCGTCTCACTCCTCCCAGCAGCTTCTACCACCAGTAGGTACCTATGCCCTTCTATAGTCCTGTCTCAGAAGCAAAGTACAAGAATCCAGGGGTACTCCAGGCCCCACTGCCACCTTCCTCTACACAGTCACCTCAGTAGGGGGCCACGGAACCCCAAGATGGAGGAGCCATCAAAAGATGATCTCTCGTGTCTCGCCCGCTGCTCCCCTCAGCAGTGGACACTAGTGGATCCACCTGTTCTGCTCCCCACTCTGTCTCTGGTGAAGCCTCGCCAGTATGCATAAGTAAATGAACCTAAAAAATAAAAAATGATCTGTTTCAGCCTCCAAAGACAAAAAAGTAAACCACCCGCATCACCTGATTTTGGGTCTTAAACAGTCTTAGACCATGTCAGAAAGATGACCAGCCAGCGCCAAGGAAGGAGGAGCCCGGGAGGAAGGAAGCCGGTGGTGCCAGTCAGCATATGCCTCTCCGTGGCTGAATTCCAATGCATTAATTTTACATGGTAAAAAACTCCCCACTTCCCAGGCCCCATATCATTTTCATGGACAGTGGCGTGGGGAAGGAGCCAGCGCTGGAGACAGGCCTTCCCGGCCGTCCTCTCTGCTCTGCCCGGCTTGTGCCGCCATTTAGGGCCTCGTCACAGCTCTGCGCGACTGTTTCTCTCACTGACACAGTGAAGCCGGTTGGCAGAAAACGAGGCAAGGTCCAGCGCCTCTTGCACAGTTCCTGGTACAGCGTGGGCACTAGCTGGCAGGTGTTAGGATTCCCACTCTTAGCCGCCTCAACACAGACTGCGAAGAAACAGAACTCACAGCAGATGGCCACAAGCCGATTTCTCCCTGCAAACCGCAAGGAGGTGAGTCACCAACAGCCAGGAAAGCTACGGCCAGCAGCGTATTAATGAAATTAACCACAATTGTGTTCCGCTGGCATTTGATGGGAAGGAGACAGATTCCGAGACAGGTTCACTTTGCCTTTCTTGAAGCTGGACACTTTAGTTCTATCTTTGCATCTCGGATGGATGTGGCCATTCCCATGCCACCCCGTCATGTTGTCACTCACAGCTGGAGCCTTTTCCTGTATGCACAAGGCGGGTGACACGCGGCTTTGAGTTGAGTGTGCTCACCTAGCTCTGACGGCATTTGTGCCCACCAACTCCATAACTGGAAACACTTGTCTGCTGTTGACTTCACGAGCATGTGGCCATTAGAAATCAGCGTGTGTGTGCTCACTTGACAAATACAGTAGCATTTAGGTGCATTAACGAAAGGGGTGTTTTTAGGTGTAATTTAGATACGGGCTAGAGGCTGAGGGAGGAACGGGTGGCTTTTCACCCCCAGTCAGGAAGAATATGCTGACAGACACCTCAAAGACCCCAGCAGGTCCTCTTCCCCCCACTATCTTCCCTTCTCTCCTGCGCTGCCCCAATCCAAATCCTCATGGTGTAGGAGTTTTTCCCAGACAAGGGAACTCTGGGGAGAACAGAGCAGCGCAAAGTGAATCTCTTACAAAAAAACCATCTAATGAGGCAGGTACAGGTGTGACTTGCAGGCCCACCTACAAGTCCTCGTCACGCCGTGTGACAGCTGTCACCTCCTTAGGGCAGGAGGTGGAGGCGTCGGGAGGGAGGAGCAGGCTGATTTCAAGTATGACAATACCCTTTCTGAAGCTAAGCAGGAGAAGGAAAATTGTAGTAGAAACCCAAAGAACAAAACAAAAAAAATCAAGGCTCTGAAGAATGGGTTGAACACACTGGAAGAACAAAGTTCTGGCTACCAGCCTTCAACCCGGCCTGGCAGAGAGCATCTGGGCCTGCTTTCAATAGGGGCTTTGTGGCCCAGATGGCCAGCTCCATCACAAGGGTGCCGGCTCCAGAGAAAGACGGCACGAGAGTGAGCACACAAGCATCCCAAGTCCCCAGTCCTCATGCCAGTTCTAAACTCAAGCACCACGGTCTTCCAACCCCAGGGCCAATGAAAATCCCCATCTTTCTGCTTCTCTCCTTGTCTCTGATGCTTCCTACCGATGCCCGGCCCAGCTACCCCAAACTGATACCTGCACGCATGAAGAATTGTTCTTATCCCCACACACCTGACACCCCCGAGCAAGCGTGTAGTGCTCACGCACAGACCAGTCACCCCCTCACACAGGCGCTAGAGCTGGGGTGCTCCCACTCATCCTCCCCCTCCCCGGCTCATACACGTGCACACACAGAGATTTGCACACAAGCCAACCATTCCCACCTGTAGCAAATAGGAAGATGGTGTCCTCAGAGTCTAGGCAATAAGCCGAAAGGGGAGGTTTGGGAAGAAGGGGGGCACCCACGAGAAACAGGACACCGGTGGGGGGCAGGGGATAACGACCAGCAGGAGAGGGGACATTAGCACATTTCCCCTAGGTACGGACTCTGTGATTTGCTGAGATCCCACAGTGCACAGCAGAGCTACCAACAAACACCAGGAGACAGAAGTCTGGCCCGCCAGGTGCCAAGCTCTATGGGCAACCGCCTCTCCAGCCCCGGGTTTCCTCCCCCACCTCAGGGAGGCGCCAGGCACCTTCTGAGGCTCTGGTCTGGGAGTGAACCTGTGAGGCCCGGGAGCCTTAGAACGCCTTCATCCATCCACGCGGACTACTAATTTTAGATTTAACATGCAATTCTAATTTATATAGATGCTATCAGAATATTTTTCAAGAAAACAAAGTATTATTTTGGACTGGAGGAGATGATGAGTGAGAAACAAATTTATGGGCAGGAAATAACTTAGATTCTAAAACAAACCAGCTAACCAGCAACCAAAGTTTAAAATATTCTCCCCCACCCCCACCCCTTTTGCCCTGTTCACACCCTGGATAGATTTAATGAAGGAAAGTTAGGGAGCGGAGGGTCAAGCAGCGTGGTACACCAGAAAGACCATTTCGAGTTGGGTATGTCCTGGCTAGTTGCCATTTCCAGCTTGCTTAAACATCCTTGACCTGTTTGCTCATGCGTAAGTTGGGTATGAGTGATAAAATTACAGGGTGATGATTAGAATTCAGTGAAACACCATTTTGGTAAAAAGCTTGCAGAAAGGAGGTATCCATGCATCAGGTACATACACCTTATTTCCACACTCACCTTAACCTGAAAATCACTGCACGTTCCTTCACACCCTTGTGTGTGAGTACGTGCACCACAAACACTCTCCCAGATACCCAAATCTGCAAAACCATGCTCATCAGCTGTGACTGACAGGGCACGAGGAGGGAGGGGCCCAGATCTGGTGTCCTCAGCTCCATCACCTCCACCTGTGGGTCCTGAAGGCATTTTTCTCTCCTCCTTCCCCTCCTGGGGGAAGTGCCCACTGCTACATCGGACCTTGCTGGTGCTCACATTTTACTAGCTGCTCTTCAACACTTCCCAGAATGGTATCAACTGGCCTCTCTTTAGCTGTAGGGGACGGGGCATAAGAAATATTATCAGAGGCATAAGGAAAATTATCAGTTACAAAGTATTTGGCTCTGGTCCAGCAATAAGGAAGGGTAGAAAGTGTTTTTCAAGCTCCTGGTATCTGGGAAGCCCCAACCATCTGTGAGGCAACCAGCAGCTGAGAGAAGCATAAAATAACTTCAGGAGGAATAGGAAACCCCAGTTTACACGACCCTGGAGAGGGGGTTAGGACTGTTGCATGAATGCGCAGGTCCCTATTGGTGGCGATTTAAAATTAAGTTCACAGGGTGAGAGACCACCAAAGCAGCTTGCAAACCTTTAGCATGGGGCTAGGAAGCAAGCCTGGTCAGAAAGGTCATCTCTCCCCACACACTGTGGCTATTTCTCCCTGCTTCTTGCTGGTTTATAACCTCTGACCCAGGCGAAGTCGCCCTGCCTGGCTGGATCTCCTGTCATCTTCCCACCCTCATCTCAAGACCGTCCCTCTCCCTCCCACAGCATCCACCCACCCAGTTCCTTACCAGGAGGTTCCACACCCTTGAAGGCCCAGCAAGGGACCTCCTCCTCGAAGGAGGAAATCTTTTTCTTCCCTAATAGGCACTGCCTATTCCAGCAATTTCTTTGGCATGCCAGACAAAAGCCACACCTGTCTCAATCAGGACAGCCAGGCAGGCAGCCTGCCCGCCTCCTCTCAGACCCAGAGCCAGGGGCGCTGGGGTCGCGACGCCCACACGCCCCCCTCCCCGCCGCCAACCGCCTGCGGCTTTGAAAGCAAATCTTTTCTTTCACTCTGAACCCCCGAGAAGTCTCTCACCTGCAAAGAGCATATCCTTACCAGGCTATGCGAGAAAACCTTTTAATTCTGCAACCACACCAGAAAGAGCCTGCCCCAGGCGGGTTCAGCAGCCAGCCCCCAGCTGAATCTTCCCATCCCTCGGCTCCTCGCTTTAATTCCCCCAAATAACGCAGTCAGAGAAAGTGAACTTGGCCGCTCGGAAAGTTTCTGTGCAGTCAGGGACGCGGGGCGCGGGCGGGCACCCGGAACCTGGCCGCTCCGGACGGTTGCAGGAGTCCACCTGGGGGGCGTCCCGCCTCGCACTGGGGAGAAACCGTTGAGCCCCGCCGGCCACGAAAACAAAAGCCAGTGTGCCTGCGGCCGCCGCCAAAATCCTCCATCACTGGCGAAGTGCAAACACCCGGCGGGGCGCGGGCGCGGGGGGCGCGGGTGGGAAGCAGCGGGACGGAGGGCGGGAGCGAGTCGCACGGGCTGGGAACAAAGCCGAGGGGCCCGCGCGGGACCTCGCAGGGGCACGCAGCCCCCCTCCGGGCGCCGCGCGGGCGGGGTGGGGGTGCAGGTGTGTGGGTGCGCGCGCAGCGGGCCCCTCCCCCGCCCCCCCGTCCCCGGGGGACGACCCTCTCCGCGCCCCCGGTCCCGGGGCGGCTCTCACCCGAGCGGGGGTCGAAGGTGACCACGAACACGGCCACCACCTGGTCCTCCTCCACGTCGCCCAGTTCCAGGCGCCCCGGCTGCAGCAGCACCTCGGAGGCCCCCGGCTCGGCGGGCTCCCGCCTCCCGG